TTGATCAAGTCCATGTGCCTCTAATGTAGTTAGCCTCTTTTCCTACTGCCTCTGCCCCTTTGCTGAGGAGTATCATCTTTCCTAATGAGTCATTTGTCTCATTGTATGGCCAAAGTATGATAGCCTTAGTTTTGAATTCTAAAAAGAATTTAGGCATGATTGACTCTAGAACCAATTCATGTCATGTTTGTGGGATCAACAGAACTCTCTCATCCAGCAGCACACTTCAAATGACCTGATTTCTTCTTGTCAGTCTTCTTCAATGTCCAGAACTTCCTATACTAAGGCCAAAACAATGGCCATTTTTCTAGGAAGCTAAGTGCCAAAATCAATATTTAGCTGCAGAGGACTTGGTCCTGAATTATGAAGAATGCATGCTATTCAGTATTTACTAGATTATAAATTGGACTTATGATCTTGAAAGGTTCAGGATTTATATTTATGGTTGTTAATGACCCCCAAATCCTACCTCTTAAGCTAAGCAACACCCAAACCGATGGGCTTCTGAGGCACTACAGAAATGATGACTGTAGCATTTTCTCAGTCATGAACTTGTTGAACTGCAGCAGGATTCTAGAAGGTTTGCAGAGCTGCCCATCTCAATATGCCTTAGAAGTTCTTGCATTATCACTAACTAATGTCTTGATGTGTAGGCCCATGGCATCACTTTGGAAGCTGCCATGGATTAAGAGGTGGGTTGGAGGGGAGGGGGTAAAATTAGGTACAGCAGTGGACCTACCTCTTCATAACTTGTTGTTGTTCATTCGTTCAGTCGTCTCCGACTCTTCGTGACCTCATGGGCCAGCCTACGCCAGAGCTCCCTGTCGGCCGTTACCACCCCCAGCTCCCTCAAGGTCAGTCCAGTCACTTCAAGGATGCCATCCATCCATCTTGCCCTTGGTCGGCCCCTCTTCCTTTTGCCTTCCACTTTCCCCAGCATAATTGACTTCATAACTATTATCAGATAATGTACAATTTCAGCCTATGAATTGTGAGTACTCAAGTCTTTGTGAACCAGCCAGTGGTGTGGGTGGAATCCTACTGTGTCAATTTGGATGATGCCCACTCCCTTATTCTTAGAAGAATGCAATGGCAAACCCCCTCTGAATAAATCTTGCGAAGAAAGCCCTATGAAAAAGGGCCCTATACATCAGACTCAAAGGCATGTAACAACAAAGTTAAATCATGTCCATAGTTCGGACATTCTTACATTATTCATAAAGTTGCAACCCAGGCATTTAAATACACACATTCAAATGCTCTCTGGTACATCTGACCACCTTTTAATAATACAAAGAGACTTGTGCAGCACAGGTGACTGGAAACTCCTACACAGCAATGTGTCTGACAGAGCAGATCCTTTGGGAATATGCAGCAGCTTTAAATGAATGGAAAATATGCTAGCTGCACCAGGTTCCTATAATCCTAGTATAATGTGAATGAATACAAAGGTATTTGCTTTTCCAAAACAGTCATGAACATGAAGACCTCAGTACATATACAGAAAGAGATTAGATCTAACCTTTCCATCTAAACTTTCTGAGCAGTCACCAAAACAACAGTTAACTTTAGGACTTTTCCTGCTATGAATGTTGACTATAGCAAGAATTTTCTTCTTCCTACAAATAGTTTCTTAGCAATGTTAATGGTTGGAAAGGTAGTTATGAAGGAACTACTGTATAGTAAAGGTAAAGTTAAAGGTTTTCCCCTGACATTCAGTCCAGTCGTGTCAAACTCTGGAGGTTGGTGCTCATCTCCATGTCCAAGCCAAAGAGCCAGCGTTGTCCGCAGATACCTCCAAGGTCATATGCCTGGCAAGACTGCATGGAGTACCGTTACCTTCCCACCAGAGCAGTACCTATTGATCTACTCATATTTGCATGTTTTTGATCTGCTAGATTGGCAGAAACGAGGGCTAACAGTGGAAGTTCACACTGCTCCACGAATTCGAACCTGCGATCTTTTGGTCAACAAGTTCAGCAGCTTAGTGTTTTAATGCACTGCACCACCGGGGGCTCCTTATATATGAGAGTAACTACTGTATACTCTCATATATCAGTCAATCTCATATATAAGTTAAAGGAAGGTTTGGGGGGCATCATTCTGGATTTTGATAAATCAGAGGTCATTCTTTGGAGAAGAAAGCACCAAGACCGCTTCAGCGAACCAGCAACGTCTGGCTACCAATTGCATTTCCTTCCCCATTCATTCAAAAGAAGGGTGAAAATAGAACCACTGTTGAGAGTAGAGGAGGGCAGTGTTTCTTTTATGTTGTCCTGGGATTGACTAAGTTCTTGCGTTTCATCACTTTATTCAGAGAAGGGCTGGTTCCTTTAAAAAAAACAACAGTTAAGGTACAATACTCACTCTCCCAAAAAAACCAGGAAGATTCAATGGAGAATGCTGTGTTTTGGCCATATCATGAGAAGACATGAATTTAAATTTTATGTATGTCTTATGTTGAATGGTTTTAATTGATTTTAAATTCATAGTTATATGTAGTAATTAGTTATTATGATTTTTTTGTGTACTGTATGTTGGCATTGGATTTTTGCCATTAGTGTGTTCTAAATCGCCTTGAGTCTTCCCAGGGTGAAAAAGGCAGTATTACTTTTTTTTTTTTACTTAGGGGATCCCTAGTTGTCCAAGTAAGATTGTCCTCCAAGTTTGGTATTCTGGCAGGGGGTACGTCTGTGGAGCCCTATCCTTGACCTGCATGTTCTCCGGCAGTGAGAATCTCGGTTTCCAGATGGAAGGCGGTTCTGGTCAGGATTGGCTTGATATGCCTTCCTCTTGGCACATTTCTCTCTTTTGCCCTCCATTCATGCCTCTTCAAATTCTACAGCACTGCTAGTCACAGCTGACCTCCAATTAGAGCACTCAAGGGCCAGGGCTTCCCATTTCTTGGTGTCTATGCCGCAGTTTTTAAGGTTGGCTTTGAGTCCATCTTTGAATTTCTTTCCCTGTCCTTAAACATTCCATTTTCCATTCTTGAGTTCGGAGTAGAGCAACTGCTTTGGGAGATGGTGATTGGGCATTTGGACAACGTGGCTGGTCCAGCGGAGTTGATAGCAGAGGACCATCGCTTCAGTGCTGGTGGTCTTTGCTTCTTCCAGCACACTGACATTTGTCTGCTTGTCTTCCCAAGATATTTGCAGGATTTTTCAAAGGCAAGGCTGATGGAATCATTCCAGGAGTTGCATGTGATGTCTGTAGATAGTCCATGTGTCACAGGTGTATAGAACAATAGCTTTATAAACAGGCACCTTGGTATCCCTATGAATGTCCTGGTCCTCAAACTCTCTGTGCTTCATTCAGAAAAATTCAGCACTCGCAGAGTGCAGGCAGTGTTGTATTTCAGTGTCAATGCTGACTTTTGGGGAGAGGTGGCTGCCAAGGTAGAGGAAATGGGCAACATTTTCTAATGTTACACCATTTAGCTGTATTTCTGGCATTGCAGATGGGTTGGTTGGTGACTGCTGGAAGAGTACTTTGGTTTTCTCGATGTTCAATGACAGGCTGAGCTTCTCATATGCTTCTGCGAAGTTGTTTAGAGTGGTTTGTAGGTTGTTTTCTGAATGCACACAAACAATGTTGTCATCAGCATATTGGAGTTCGATAACAGATATTGTTGTAACCTTGGTTTTGGCTTTATATAAATACAGTAAATAAATAAATCCCTAGAAAAGATAATAATGCATGGGAAGGAAGAAGGCAGTAGGAAAAGAAGAAAACCCAAATGGACCAACTACAAGACTTGAGCAGGGGGAAGAAACACAAGAGTCTAGCCCAGGCCTGGGAAAATTTGGGCCCTGCAGGTGTTTTGGACGCCAACTCCCACCATTCCTAACAGCCTCAGGCCCTTTCCTTTTCCCCCTCAGCCGCTTAAGCGGGAAAGGAGAAGAAAAGGAATTAGGAATGGTGGGAGTTGAAGTCCAAAACACCTGGAGGGAGGGCCCAAGTTTGCCCATGCCGGTCCTAGATGGATGAAAACAGTGGTCAAAAGAAGATGAGTGGTGAGGGAGGAGGACTGGGAGTGCATTGCTTGAAATGGCAAGAGACACTGGTTTTTCCACTGCTGCTAGGAGTGCGCTTGTTGTATTTGTGTGTGTGTTCAAAGGGGGGGGGGGGGGGGGCAAGCCTGGTGTCCCTGGGCTTGTGTGTGCTGCTCCCTCCCCTTCCTCCCGCCTTGCTGGCCCTGCTTTTGTTCCCCCTCCTTTCGCCTGGCAAAGCCCAGCCTGCCCTTGGAGGGGGATGCGGTGCGAGGCGCCTGAATGCCCAGGAGCGCTCTGGGAAGAAGATGCTCCGTCCGGACTCTCTTGGGCAACCTCCTTTCCTGAAGATCATGGTTGATGGCGTGACGTCAGGCCCATTGATTTGCCTCTTGAATGGCTGTGGTTGGACGGCGGAGGAAGCAGGGAGGGAAGGAGGGGTGGAAGGAGAGAGAGAGGGAGGGAGAGGAGGGGATCAGGCGACACAAATGCCAAGCCCGGCTTCCAGCGTCTCTCATTTGTGAGCTCTACAGAAACTGACATCCCGGGAGCGCAACCATTGTGAGGCGGCTGCAGCTGCAAGGCAGCAGAATCCATGGCTTGGCTTTGAAAAGAAATCCCCAAAAATCCCAACCAATTCCTCTTCTTCCTCCTCCTCCTCCTCCTCCTCCTCCACCCGCCCCTCCTGCAGCTTTCCCTCTGCTGATCTGACAGGGCTTGATAATTAATCTTGCTCACCCAGATGCTGCATTAAGATTACAGGGAGAGAGGAAGGCATGGCAAAGACTGAGACAATCCCTGTGCCTGTGTGTGTGTGTGTGGAAAGTGGGTGAGGACAAAAAAGGGAGGGGAGCAATAGGTCCCTGTGTTCCTGTGGGGTATTGTGTCAGGAGATGCAAGCCAGCTACCATGTGACGAGATAGAAAGCGGGAGGGATTGGCTGAGATACTACCAGCAGGCTCTGTGAGCTAAAGCAGCTCCCTTCACCCCTCCCTCCCTCCACCCCTCCCTCCTCTTCCCCCCTCTTCAGCATCCTTCTGTGATCCTGTAGGTGATACAGCTACAGCAGCATCCATGGCCTGCCTTTTGCCTTAGCACACTTGCTCGCTCACCCTGCGTTTTTTTTAATTTAATTTATTTTTTTCCCTCCCATTTCTTCTTTGGCTTTGACAGCTGCACCCACCATGTATCCAAGGCACTGATTTTGGGGAAGGCTTACGTTAAGCATCTGGTACACCCAGGGATCGTAATTTCCTGTATTTTTTCAGGCTCTGTGGAAACTGAGGAATGCAATTCTGCCACCATGATGGAAGGTAGGGATCTGCTCTGATTATGCCTTCACGTTTCTAATGCTGGTTGTGATCCTTTGGAGGGCCAACACGCTCCATTGAAGCTTTTATTGCCAATTTCAGAGGGCAAGATGATATTTAAAAACAAAAATATCCCAACTTGGATGGTGCTGAGAAATGACTCGCCAGATACTGTCTCCAGCGATCAAATTCTCAGTTCTCATGATGCAGCGGAAGATCTGTTCATGTTTTATTCATGCAGGTCTCAGTCTTTTCAGGATGGAAAAAATAAGTCTGGCAGTTCATGGCCTGTTGAGATATGCCGAACCAAATCAAGAAATGAGACAAAATCTTTGCAGAATGAATATAGGGGGTGGGTTAGGGGTTGCATTAAGGTGATGCTTCTATCAAGCTTTGAAAACCATTGCCACTTGTCTTATTTTGAAAGGATAAGGGGGTTGCAGAAAACTGCCTTCAAATATGATTTTCTTAATCCTTTATTGGGCAAGGATTCTGTTCTGTTACTTCTTTCAAAGGCATGCACCTAAGGGTATTTCCACACAGTCATATAACCCAGAATATCAAGGCAGAATAGCCCACAATATCTGCTTTGAACTGGGTTATCTGTGTCCACATTGCCATATATCCCAGTTCAAAGCAGATAATGTGGGATTTTATTCAGCTATATGGAAGGGCCCTAAGTGTTAGAAAGGGTGAAACAGATTCAACTATAAGAATATTAGAAATCTTTGAGATTTTGCCTGTCGTTGTAACATTTGTGATCTAAATCTAACATATAGCCATCCAATGGCCCTTCCATTTGCACCAGTTATGACCATAGACTATTGCTGTCTTGTAGCGTGAAGGTTTGCTGTAATGAAATGGATGTGACTGCAAATAAAATGTCACGGCCTTCTAAGCATCATAAGGCATTCACTGTGATGCATTAAAACATACATATATATACATGTGTGATGGAAACGCAGAAAATAATTCAGGCTGATGGCTCTTTTAGGGGATGCATTTAATAGGGATGGGGATTTTTGTGTCACGCATTTTAGGGTTGTTCGGTGAAGGGAACCTTTCTCTCATGTTATAGCATTAATTCTTAATTGTGTTACAGTCTCTGAGATGATGATAGAATTACCAATGAAGCAAAAAGGCATCCATAGCAGGTGTACTGAGACTATTTCCTTTGGCCTTCATACTGTGCTGTGGTGCAGAGAAGCAAGCTTATGCAGGGGGGGGGGGGAGAAGAAAAATGGGAGGAATTAAGGGAGATGAATAAAAAAGAAAGAGGGTATATAGTTCTGGATTCTGTACAGATGTCACTTAAATGTACATGCAGAAACGTGCATTTAGGATGCATTTTGGTTCAAGATTTTAGGGCTTTTGAACTTCATCGTTCGATGCTGTATTTGCATGCAATCCCCCCTCCCCTCAAACCTAGCTAAAATTAAGGATGTTATGGGCTATTCTTGACCAATTGATCATAGTGGCATTATAGTTCTTCTGTTTGATGTTTTGTTTCATGTCTGATATAGTTCAACCCGGACTGTTATGAAACCAAGAGGGATGGTTTGTAGTTAGGAAGGAAATGCAAAAACGTTATCTAAACATGAAAGCCTTGCCATTTCCTGAGATTAATAAAAATGTCTTGTATAACTATAGAATATACATTCTGTGTTGCTGAAGGACTGGACTAGAGTAGAATTATATGCATTGCTCTTTATGGCCTGCTTACTAAAATTGAAAATGAAAATAAACTCAAACTAGATTCTTTCCCACTTATCTCATGGACATTCAGCTTTGATTTTACTACCATAGGCACTGAGTTAGGAATGAAATGTTAAGATTTATGAAAGTTATGCTTGATTTAAACCATGATTTAAGCAAGTAGACATACTGTGAGCTTCACCGTAGGTAGTACCAGGAGTTGGCAAGTATCTATGGCACTACTGGATCATCTTCCTTGGAGAATACTATTTTAGTTATTCTGACAGAGAAACACACACACACACTTAAGATAACATACTTGGAATGAGTGACCTTAGTCAAGCACTTACTAGAGTTTTTAATTAGTGTAATGCTTCAGGGAACTCCAGGCAACAAAGATCTAAAAGATAACATCATCATCTATTTGATTAATATTAAATATGTTAAAAACAAGGGAGATGTGGCAGAACCTGTTTTTGAATAAAACTGTAATCATGAAGATCCTAAATTTTCAGAAGCTTCCAGGCTGATAATTAGGCCGGAGCATCACAAAGCCTGGTTATAGCATGTCAAATGTGCAAGTGTTTCCTCTAATTGTTTTTCACATCTATCTCCAAATTACTTATCTGTGAAAAGCGATGACAATCCCTATATATATATATCTTATGTTTCAAAGATGGACCAGATTTAGGGTGCATCTAGATTGTATAATTAATGCAGTTTGACACATTAACAGCCATGGTTTAATGCTATGGAATCATGGGAGCTGTAGCTTGGTGATGTACCAGCACTCTTTGCAGAAATGAATAAAGGCCTTGTAAAACTACAGCTAACATACATCCATAATATTGAGCAGGTCCATAGGCAGAAAAAAATTCAGGGGGAGGGTGGGTTTGAAACATTTTTTTTTAGCGAGTCATGAAGAGTAGGTCCATAACACAAAAATAATTTAAATTCTATGACTCATTCTATATTTTATATAGACTTAATTAAATCAAATTTCTATTTTAGCTACAAAGTTTCAAATCTTAAAAAGCTAACTCTTAATTAGTAATTTAGTGGTTGCAAAAGATTTTTAAGATTTGAAACTTTGTAGCTAAAATAGAAATTTCTGCAACACTGCCCATTTCAACAGCTACAAATGAATTCTTTCAATTATTAAAAGTTTGAAAACAGAGTGTATTGACATAGTTTTCATAGCATCTGTTGGAGACACTTGAAAACTATGTCAATACACTCTGACAGAAATCAGCCTCCATTGATAAACTTCAACAGACACTCAAGAGTGCAAGTCCAGTTAGACTTTCTTGCCCCATTGTGCTTCTTGTGTATGTTTTCAAACTTTTAAGAATTGAAAATGACCTTTCATTTGTAGCTGTTGAAATGGGCAGTGTTGCACAAATCTGAAGAAGTTTCTTTACATTCTGAGAAAACGGTCTATCACACACAAGGTATGCGTTCACTGCACCTGATGGTTTTTCTGCAGGTGCAATCTTTTCCCATTTTCTACCCCACAGGTCACACTCTTCCATCAGTGTGTCAGTATCTTGAATGCATTCATGGTAAAGTTCTGTGCACTTGTTCAAGTTGGATTTTAAATGGCTACAATTAATAGGGACGAATATTTGCAGTTCCTGGACTACTTCCCTGTGCCTTGTAAACCTTTCTTGAAGCTGACTGCAGAAAAAGTTCAGAAATGTTTAGCCTATAATTTTCCATTGGTGCTGGTGAAGTTTATCTTGAAAAGATGTGAGGAATCCTAACTTCTCCATCCATAGACTCCACCACTGATCTCGCTGTGTTAAAGATCTCCTGAAATTCTTTTACAAATACTGTGTGCATATATCTGGCTTTTTCTAAGGGACTGTAGACATGTTGCGGATGACAAAAATGTCAGTATCTACTCTTTGTAATGTTTCGCTAAACTGAAGGGAAGATGACAGGAGCTTTCTTAGGATGTGTATGGTTATTACAAGTTCAGCATTCAGAACAGCTTATTTATAGAGGACTCTTAGTTCTTCAAGTGTTCTCACCACCACACTGTATAGTCCAACAAAACCTAAAACTGCATTGTGCCACTCAACCCAATGGGTTTAATAAATTGGCAACAGGTTGTTTGCTCATTTTGTGTCAGGAGTGACTTGAGAAACTGCAAGTCACTTCTGGTGTAGGAGAATTGGCTGTTTGCAAGGACATTGCTCAGGGGACACCTAGATGTTTTGATGTTTTACCATCCTTGTGGGAGGCTTCTCTCATGTCCCCACATGAGGAGCTGGAGCTCACAGAGGAAACTCAGCCTATTCTCCCTGGATTCAAACCACTGACCTGTCAGTCAGGAGTCCTGCTGGTGAAAGGGTTAACCCATTGCACTACAGGGGGCTCTGTTTGCTATTGATTCAGGGAAACACTTTTACATTTTTCCTCAATAGTTCCAGTCTGATGGATGGTGCTCTGAAGAGATTGCACACAGATGATATTGTTCTTTGGCAGTTTATGATAGGTGGAATGCTGCAAGTCTTTGCTAAGGCTAAATTTAGTGAATGATCACTGCAGTGGATGTAGCCAGTTATTGAATACTTCTGCGATATAATTGCCTGTGCACCACTAATATGACCACTCATGTTAGTAGCTCCATCATAAGCCATTCCACACAAGTATTGCATGTTCAGCCCATTTTTTCCAGTGTTTACAAAATAATGCCTACAAGTCCTCCACCTGTCAGATCTTTACAAAGCCTATATTCTCTTATTCCTGCAGGTTCAATATCAACGTATCTTACCAAGAACAATAACTGTTCTGAGGTACTCACATCCAAAGTTTTATCTGCCAAAACAGAGAAACACTGTGATGCATTGCATCTTTCAACGTTTTTTTTGCTATCTTGTCACTACAAATGTCTATTAGTTCATTCTGTATTTGAAAACTAGTATACTGGGTATTCATAGCTGCAGTTTTGATATGACTTTTCAGGTCAGTTATCATGATGGTGGGTTACATCAAGACATTTTCCGATGTGAACTAGCAAGAAGCTTTCAGCCAAACACAAGTTGTTCTGATGGTACTTTAGGGATTTTTTGTGTCAATTGGAGACTTGCATTGCATATTTCCATTGCACAAATGGTTGAGCAACCAATGCACCAAGCTTCTGATGACCACCTTTCCCACCAACTTCTCCTCCAAACATCACACAGTACTTAAATAGTGCACCTTGTACATGAAATGAGTAGGCTAACCAGAGAATCTGTTGAACTGTTTGGGTTAAAAAATTAGATGCTTCTTCTTATCCACAGGAAATACATATCCTGGCA